ACTCCGGTCTACGGCGGGGATGGCTATGGCGCTGGTGGAGGTGGCGGCTTTGGGAGTAGCCTTGGAGGAGGCTTTGGCGGAAGGTTTGGTGGATTCAACCAGCGCAAATAATAATCTTACTTCTAAGCGGTCTTCTTTGAGAGAGGTTTCCATGACTCCAATGTGATGATTAAAGCAACACTCCTGCCGAGGCTGGCTGCAAAGAGAGAGAGCCGCTCTTCATTGTGCATGCAGTATCATGCGATCTTCATTGTGCGGGCAATGGCATGTGATCTTCATTGTGCGGGCAATGGCATGGATCCCTCGCTGTGTATGCGACAGCGCGCATCACTTGTTGTTTATGTGACATTGTGTATATGCCACTATGTATCTCTCGCTGTTTATGTGTGACATTGTGTATCTCTCGCTGTTCAAATGATACCAACACTCTCCATTTCCTGCCATACCAGCGATTGCAGAACATCAATGCCTTCTTGGCTCAGTTGGCAGAGCGTCTGCCTAGTAAGCAGAAGGTCGCCAGTTCGATTCTGGCAGAAGGCATGTTCTTTTCGAGTTTGGCCGCGGAGGCTGGGCTCCACAATTTTTTGGATGCGTGTGTGGTTGCCAGTGTTTGCTTGCGCATCTTTTCGCTGCCTTTGGGCCGGACTCAGGCGCGCTCGCACAGAATAGCATGCACTAATTATGCAACCGTGCAGCCATGCAACCACGCAACTACGCGCCGACTGCTGCGCGCCGCACCAAGCAAGCTCACGGCGGCATCCAGCGCCAGCTGCAGGCAGTCGCGCCGTTTTTGGTATGTGCTTCTCCGCAAAGGCGGCGGGAAACTATGCAAAATTAATTCACCAAGCTTTTTTTCTCACAGGAGCAAGGGCAAGGTGAATCTTTTGCAGGTTGACAAATGTACACCAGGAGACAGCGGCCGACGGTTCTTTCGCCGAGAATTTAATTTGGCGCGAGAGGGAACAGCCTTGGCCATCAGAAAGCAGAAAGGAGAAAGAGGAAGAGAGGAAGAAGGACGCAAGCAGAACAAGAAGAGAGAGAGGCTGGTCTGCTGCCCTGATATTTGGCGCAACAGCTGCGAGCCGCATGCAGAGTTGCAGGCAGAGCGAGCGTTGTGGTGGCTGCGGCAGCTGACAAAGGAGCAAAAAAGTGTGATCCTGGCCGGGATCGAACCGACGACATCCTGATCCGAAGTCAGGCGCTCTGACCTCTGAGCTACAAGACCTTGTTGTCGTCGAATCATGTTATGTGGGTGTCGCTGCATCGGTCCGCCGAGCCAGATCTGGATCTGCGCTGTTCTATAGCTGCGCTGTTCTCTAGCTGTGTTGCTCAGTAGTTGTGCTGTTCTGGAGCTGTGCTGTTCTGGAGCTGTGCTGTTCTGTCTTTACGTTGGCCTGTAGTC